CACAAGCTTCAAAACAGTTAAAATTTCTAAAATGTAAAAAACAAACAAACAAGAAACTCGTGACATGACGTCCGTTGACTCACGGCATTCCGGCATCATGCACTTCTCCACCTCGGCCACCTCGGTTTTGCACATGGATCCGTCGATCGGCGGCATCTTCACCATTCGCTCGCGTCGCTTCATGCCGACTCCACAGGTGACGCTGCAGGGATCCCACTCGGCCCACTCGGTCACCACACAGCTGCTGGGCGCTGTGGGAGACAGTCCGCCGTTTAGTGTTCACAGAAATCACAGAGAGTCGTTTCAACTCGACAAAGTTCCTAAACTATGACTGGATTTAGACGAGATTCTGTTTCTTGGACGTAGCGAACTCAGCTGACTGAAAGGTCGTTTAAAGACGTCTCCTGATGGCCAATTAATTCCCCTTTCATTGTATTTTAGACACTAAATGGATCATGGATGGCAAACAGCTTAGTTGGATGAGCTAAATTCAAAACTGCAAGCTCTGGCATTGAAACAAGTCTTGGAGTCATCTTGGACTCGTCAATCAGTTTTGAGCCCCACATTAAAAATATTACCAAGATGGCTTTTAATCACTGAAAAATATCACTAGACTGCGACCAGGACTCTCTAAAACCAAAGCAGAGCCACTAATAGATGCTTTCACTACGTGCAGCACTGACTACAGTCTCCGATCTGGACTCCTTAAGAAGACGACAATTCTTCTCCAACTTCTTCAAAACTCGGCAGTTCTAACTCAGACCAGAAGGAGAGCTCACATCACTGCTCTGGTTGCCTGGTTGGATCCTTTTATTAGTTTATAAAGCTCTTCATGGTCTTGCTCTTTCATATTTATCACATTTGCTTTTATCTCATGAACCCTCCAGAACCCTCCGGACTTCTGGCCCACATCTGTGGACCACCTACCAGAAGACCTGAGGGCAGCAGGAAGTGCTGGTATTTTAAAAAGCAAACTCAAGACCTTCCTTTTTAGTCTGGATTTGGATTGATTTGATAGATTTTACTTATTTACTACTACTTTTTTAAAGAAAACTTATTTTATTCATTCAGCTCTCTATTTATTCACCTGTTCAGATATCTGCGTCTTGCTATTGCACCGTTTGTTACTTTGTTTTTATCATTTATTATTCTGTTTTTTTTTATGTGTGATTTTATTTTGATGTGTTTTAACAATAGGCATCTTATTTATGTGTCTATCTTGCTTATTTTGTCTTATTTTATTGAACTTTATCTCATCTGGTGTTTTATAGGAAAGTGTTTCGTCACCAACTCCAGCGTCTCAGAGTCCGTCTGTTGATAATTTCACAGTTTCAGTTGTTATTTTCTGTTTTTAGCACTCTGGGTTGCATTTCTGTTGTTGTGCTGCAGAAATAAAGTCTGATTGATTGAAGACGCGTGAACGTAAACCAGCTGCGTGAAGACGTGAACAAACTTCAACACCTTCACGAGGTTCGGGTCGCGGTTCTGTGTTTGTCTAATTAAGTTCTGTCGCTTTGTGAAGCTGAACAGCTTCATGATTACTGCACGGAAATGAGCCCCGACAGTCGGCAGCAATCTCGTCTAATTATGACAACTCCTAATGAAATTACGTCCAGCCAACAGATCGCGCCGAGTTGTGCTTAATTATCTTTTCTCTACAATCAGAGGTATTTTTAATCACCTCTGTCTTAATAATTGGAGGCAGAAAAACAAGTTTCTACGTCGAATGCTCATAAAAATGAAAGCGTTTCCCCGTTAATTATCGTAATTATGAAGACAGTGAAGTTGCTTCACTGTTGAGTCGATAACGGAGAGAACTGGAAATTATGACCTCAGGTTTTCGAGCTTTTTCATAAAGTCGCCTCGACCTGAGTCTAGTTTTAGAGCAACGAGTGCAGAAACGTACCGTTAAGCTACACGATATTAAACCGAAGCAACGTTTTTAACGTAACGTTAAACAGTTGATTTAAATCAGTCAGTTTACAGTTTTAGTTTCAAACTGTGCGGCGTTGGACAAACATCCAGAGAATTACTGTTTGCTCATCAGTTCAACAAACATTTTGGACAAATTCTAATTAACTTCAGACACGTTTTGAGTCACATTGGACAACTTTTGGAGTCTTTTTGGATGATTTCTTTATTGTTTTGAATTAATTTTGAGGGATTTTTTTGCTGTTTCTGAGTAATTTTTAACATTTTACATCAACTTCAGGTGTCACGATGTAAAGCTGTGATGAATTTTGAGTCTATTTCTGTTTTATTTGAGACAATTTCAATGTAAGTTGACCAATTTTTGATAAAAAAAACACGAGTTTTGTTAAAAACTGTAACCAGATGAGTTTTTTTCTCAAACTTTTTTTTCAAAAGGACATAAAAAAAATGTGTCCAGAATTACTTCAAAATGGTTGAAAATGGCTCCAAAAATATTCATAATGACTCAAAGATTTGTTCAAAATGACATGAAAGTCGTCCTAAACAACACAAATTCATTCAAAATTATGTAAAATGCATCAGATTTTTATTTATTTGTTTTTGCCTTCAGTCTGTGACACCTGGATGGAAGTCAATTTGATCCAGTGTCAGTTTTTAACAGAACTTAGATGTTTGTTTTTCCCCAAAACGAGTCAAAATGAAAATCGTCCCTATTTATTAAATGTCAAAATAATATTAAAACTGTCCAGAAATGGTTGAAAGTGGCCAAAATACCTCAAAACTGCATCAAAATCGCACAAAATTTCTCCAAAATGAGTCAAAGTTGGTTCACATTATCTTCAGATTGTGACACCAGGATGGATGTAGAACTGATCTGGTGTCAGGTTCTAGCAGAACCCAGATGTGTTCCTCCTCCTAAATGTCATGTGTCTATCTGCTGTACTGATGAAGTTCTGAGGCTCAGAAATGATGGAAAAAGTCCATTAAAGGACCTGGACCTCTGGACCATTCACAGCATCATTTTGGAAATCTGGAGTTATTTTTGACAGTTTTTAAATGATCTTGGACACGTTTTGAGTCATTTTGGAGAAATTTAGAATCATTTTGGACAATTTCTTGAGTCTTTGAGTCTTTTTGAGTCCACTAAGGTGATCAATCTGGACCCTCCTCTGTGGACTTCAAGGACCTGGACCTCTGGAACATTCACAGTCTGAAGGTAGAACTCTGGTCAGTAGATGAAGGTTCTGCAGAAACAGAACCAGATGTTCTGAGGAGGAGCGTTTTGCTGAACCCGTTGAACTCACAGCACTCGTCGTTGACGACACACTTCTCCGTCTCCTCGGTGTGCAGCTGACACAGCGACCCGTCCTCCGGGTACTGCTTGACGTAGCGCTCCCTGGACCTCATCCCCATCCCGCAGGAGACGCTGCAGGCCGACCAGCTGATCCACTCCGACATCATGCAGGTCGACGGCTCTGCAGAGAAAACACAGCAGCTCACTGCTTCTGCTCCCGTCCACGGGGTTCTGATCCGGAGAAGTTCTGCATCTGAGCCTGAGGGGCTTTAATGCTGGAGGTGTTTTAAACCTCATCAGGGTGATAAAAACCCTGACGTATACAACCAGACACATGCAGTGAACAGATGACCCACCAAGGATCAGTAATCATGCAGCAAAAAATAACTAAAATTATACAAAAGACTAATTAATTTCTCTATTTTTGAATTAGTGAGAAGGTTCAATAAACACTCCAGCTTCAAAACAAAGTGATTTTTCTGGCAGTTACTCCACAGTTCAGGCTTTACGGGGTTAAAAACGTGCAGCTGCTGATTCTGTTTCTCACTGGAGGACGAATGTGGGTCCACAGCTGGAGACAGATGTTTAATTCAGTGATTCGTTTGGTCAAACAAGTTCAGCTGCAAGAGATTAAAACCACACACCTCCATGTTAAACTCATTCCTACAGCTGTGTAGCTGCTGCTGAGTTCACGGATGTTAATCAACTATTTTTGTGACTAATGCATCATTTATTCACACCTTCATGCTGCAGGATTCAGTCTCCGTTGTTTGTTCCCAAACTGTGTTTCTGTGAGTAAACCTGCTGCAGCTGCAACGCTTTCATAGATTAAACTTATTTTGTTAACTTTACAGCGATTCTACTAAATTAAAGGACATTTTCTCACATTTTCATCTCGACTTGTTTCAGTAAAAACTACAGAAATCATCATTTTTCTTCACGGAGCTGCTGAAAGTCGACCAGCAGCTCTTAAGGTGGAACGTTTTCCTGCATGTTGCTCAGTGCAGGAGATGTTGTGACAAATCAGTCCTCCTTAAATGTCACTAACACAACTTTTTTATTATTATTTTCTTATTTAGTTTTTATTAATTTTGGCTTCTATTTTGCCCTTCATCTGTTTTAATAAAAGACCTTTTATTTGTTGTATTTTATTTAGTCTTTTATTGCATTTTTATTCCTTACATGTGATGATCTTGGAGCTTTTTCTTCTTCTTACTGAACCTTTATTTAACAGGAGCAGCAGCACGAACGAGCAGCTTTCACACATAAAACAACTGACTTAAAAGTTTATTACAGTCACATAAAACTGATGAAAAGATGAACAGAGTGAATTATAACATTTGCTTTTCGTGGATGTTCTTCATGATAAGAGAGTAAAAATCTGCTCAAACTCATGATGAATTCTGTTATAATGAAGCTCCTGCAGGTTGTTCCTGTCGCAGCTGTAATAAGCCTCCGAACCCAACTAGTAATAATATTAATTATTACAATTAAACAGGCTGCAAACGAAGACAACGAGTGGTGATATTAAATATTAAATCAGCGCGCGGTGCTTCTTTGTTGATCGTATTTCCTTCTGTCTGTTGCTGATTAGGTTTCCTAACGTCCCAAACAAGGAAGATGTTCACAAAGTCTGAAAACTTCTCCTTCTGGATTCAACGCTGATCAAACTTTGCGGCCGTCATGACCTCTAATGAACCCTCTGAACTAAATCACCAGAATGATTCCGTTGTTCGGAGCCAGAAACTCTTTACGAAGGTCCTTGAATGAGTCGCGTGTGACGTTCGGTTGCATCCAGAAGATCAACCAAATCTCAGCTTAAAACTGGGATTTAAAAAAATATCTGAATCACAATATTCTACATGTTTCCTTTAAAAAAAAAAGAAATAAAAAAAGCCAAAAAGTAAACAATTTACAACTAAAAATTTAAGCCATCACTGGTGAAAACTTGGAATTTTTGTATTTAATTTAAAAATCCATGAGATTATCCACAAAAAAAGGCAGTGATTACTTCTGGATTACTTTAAACTCAAACACTATTTTATACTAAAAAAGACAAAATAAAACACCTGAGAACTGTTGGATTTGTCTTTTAGTTCATCAAAACACGTCTTAATGAAAAATAAAATCTTTGCAATAACCTGATTCTGTAAAATACAACAAAAACAACAACTAAATTCTGCACTAATAAACATTTTGAGGTTATTCGGCTGAACTGCAGGCAGCGTTTTCACTAAATCAAACTAAATCTGGACATTAAGAGCAAAATATAACAAAATTAGGGAATAAAATAAAAACAGCGCGAATCAAAAATCATGTTAAAGTTGTAAAAATGTAAATAATAAAATAAATGTAGAGTTTCTAATCGTGTTGGTGTGGAGTAGTGAGAGTGCCAAATTATAAAAATTAAAATTAAAAATAAATTAAAAATAAATAAATAAATAATTTTAAAACATTTTTAAAAAAATTAAAAAATAATAAACAAGTAAATAAATAAAAATAAAGTTTTAAAAAATATTATTTTATTATTTTATTTATTTGTCTTTATATTTATATTTTTATTAGCCTCCTCTTTCATGGATTCATTTTTGATTAGTATTGCTTTATATCGCCACATTATTTAGTTTTAATTCCACTTCTATTGATTTATTTCTGTAAGGTGGCGCTCTCACTGCTCCACATGTTGACATTCAGCTTTTCTCTCCTTATTAAACAACAGCAGCTGAGTCACATTTGAACTTCTTTAACTTCTGCTTTGCTTTTGTTTAACAGCAAAAACTCGTCGGGTTCCGTCTCTGATCGTCACGTCACTGTTTAACTGCAGATTGTTGCAGCTACAGATTCTCAGTGAGTTGCCGTCACGGATCAGAGACGCTCGCTGAACCTTTGCAGACATGAAGTCCGTCTCTGGGAATCTTCCTCCACCTGCTACATGTCAACCAAAGCCTGCATCACGTTTACTCAGCAGGCTTTGGTTCTGCACGTTCATGTCACGCTGAGGACAAAGAATCAACGCTAACGAGGAAAAAAGGAAAACAAACGGACGCTTATCGCAGTCCGTTAAGTTGGAACGACAAGCAGCTGAAGCCACTGTGATTAAATCTATTTATGTTGTTATTAATCAGCACATTTAATTAAGCAGAAGAAACAAAAAGCTGAATTAACGTTCGTTTAGTTAGTTGGACAATGACCTGTTGCTGCCGTATTAATAACAGTTAAACTAGTTCCAGCATAACTCGTGGAAAACATTGACGTAGCTGTTCTAAGGAAATCCAACTAATAATTTTTTTCAGTGCAGAAATAATCATCAGACTGATTCATTCATGAATGGATGAAAAAAAATGAAGATTTATTTTACTTAGTGCCTCAGAGTTAGTAAATCCGTGAGCACATGCAGGAATCAACACCAAATAAACCGCTTCATACTGATTAAATCATGTCATTAATCCGTTTACATGTAGGTTTTTACATGTCTAGAGTTTGATTTTTTGTTTTTTGACATGACGGGTGAACACGTGTAAGCAAAGACAGCAGGTGTCCCGGCTTCAGACGAACCAGCGATCAGCCTTCCTGACCTCACGGTTCAGCTGAAAGCGACATTTTCTAGAAATCACATTTGGGACAAAAATAACTTTGAATTGGGATGAACTATTTTTTGGATTCCAATTTTCAACAAGCAGCTCGGAAAGCATCACAAAGAACCGGCTAGACCAGATCTATAAAGGAGTGGGATGGTATGATATATGAAATCTATGGAACGGAGAAAACGACTTTCTCTTTGAGGCTCCAGGACCTTAAATTTCAGGAAATTTGGAAGAAATGGAAAATGTATATTTTCCCAAGATGCCCGACGTATGTTTAAAAAGCAAGAAGCCCACGAAACATCGTGCTTGTTTGTTTTTGTGTCTTTTTGTGTAGTTTTTGTGCAGCACCTCATGTTCTGTTCTAATGAATGTTGTAACATGATGTGTGTTCATATGGAGGAAAAAACAAAAAAGGGATCAGACTGTAAAAGAATGTCAGCCGTGATGATAGCATGGTTGACATGTAATGATCCTAAATAAAGAAATTTAACAAAAGTGACATTTCCCCCCAATAAACAAGCCCTTCCCTCTGACTGTGGCTTAATGAGGCGAGCTGCTGGAGGGCCGGTCGTGTCCACGGCGGGGCCTCGGGGAGTCCACATGTAGGACCTGGGCCGGCCGAGGGGCTGAACGAGGCTCCACTCTGGCCTGTTTGATCTCTATTAACCAGCGTGGCGCTTCAACATCTGCCCATTCTTCACTCACAGCAGCCTCCTCCCTCCGTCTGAGGGCGACCCGCCCGAGCAGACGCTCCATCAGAGGTGCGAAAAGGCAGAAGAGACGATTCTGCAAAGAGCCGACCCGCTAGGCTGGGATCTTTCTGGACTTTTTCTCTAAAACCAAACCGGGCCGGCTAATAAAGCCAGTTAATAAAAGATAACAGGTATGTGCCGCTCCAACAAGGCCAAACTGTTTCCCAGGAATATTAATCGACCTCAGAGATGCTGCCCCCCCCACCGCGATTATCAATCTCCCGGCGCCACGCTAACGGAGCGCTAAATGAAAACAAAGGAGAGGCTGCTCGGGAACACAAAGCTATCCGTGTAGCTGTCTGATAATCGATAAGAGGAGTAGCCGAGGGTGGAAGCTCCTCCAACAGCCGGAGCTCCACTCGACTGATGACTGCCAGGCGTCCTGGGAGGCCGACGGGAGGAAGAGCGAGGACGAGGACGGCGGCGGCGGCGACGGCGGGGGGGAAGACAGACGCTGACTGTGCTGCTTCTCAGCATTTGTTCCAAACTGACAACTTCACTGGAAATTGGACAAAAGCAAACTCCTGGGGTTTGGTGCTTATGTGAGTGTTTGGAGGAGGTTGTTACTGGCAGCAAAAAGAGCATCAAACCCACAACGCCGCTGAAACCAGACGGAAAGTTTCCTCTACGACAGCAACAGACAGAGGAAGGAAACGAAAATGGAGAGAGTTGACTTGCTAATGAGGCTGCTGAAAACACACAACATTACAGAGATGTGTGGGTTATATTTAACAGGATCTGAGGTGGACACAATCCAAAGTCAGAGCTTCTCGTTTGTGTTCGTCGTCACATGGGTATCATAAGGAGAGAACGTGGTTTGTGTCAGGATGTTAGAGATCCATATT